ATTAAAATAAAAAAAATAATTATATCTTTTCAAAGAAATACATAACTACCTATTTAAAAATTTATGTTAAAGAGAAACAGAGTGAGGACCATATATTAAATTTATTATATAATACACAATTTATTTCATTTATTAAGTGTCTTTGATTTTATACGAAACAGGTATTATTTATATTGCACTAATACTAATATTACCTACATGATCTCATTTAGATAATATGTAGGTTGGATCCATTCTGTTCATTTTGGCTTCGGTTCCAAAGAATGGACCTTTTTCAGAGAACTGGTTTTTAAATGTAGTCTCGAGACTGGTTAAAGACCGTTAAATGATATTTAATGTTATGAAAATAAAAATAATCGTGAATTTTATATACACTTTATTAGCATAGATAAAAATCCTTTTATGGATAGACCGGCGTTACACACAACAATTTATAATATTAATGTGAAGAGTATTGTAAAATCGAAAAAGTACCACTTATAAAAATAGCGCTGCACAGACTATATAAAACCACCTCAAAATTTGTACAAATGTTCTGGCGGGATTGGATTTTTATTTTTATTAATAACAAAGTTGCTCTAAATTTGTCATAACATCCAAATTTGTGATGGTCTACATTTTAACTTGACGTGCGTAACATAAATATAAAACTAATATATAGATAATTCAAGCAATAGTAAATAAATAACATTTCTAACTATCATTTATCATTAATAAAATGAATAAAGGTGTAAGCCGAAAAAATTTTGGTCCTTGTATAGTATGTGGTAATCAAGATATATATTATATAAACTCTATATTATATGTTGTTAAGTATATCAATATAATTGGATTTTGGTGAAAATAAGCTGTGAAATTAATCCTCTTGTCAATCTAATCAGTCCTGACGAAAGAAAGAAAATTTTTAGAAGAAATTTTCTTTGAATTTAGACAAGTAATAAAAATAAACGAAATTATTATTGGTTAATTTCACTTGATTTTTGTGATATACGAGATAATAGCCAATGATCGGATTTTTTATCTATGCTAATAAAACTCAATTTCCAATTTTTTAGCTACAGTCATCAAACAAAAAGCTTGAAGCTTACTCTATCACTTATGGCGTTTAGATTTTTCATTTTCGTTTAATTAATTAATTATTTTATTTCAAAGTATTTTTTTAACCTAATTTTTATGTCGAGCACAGCAAGTAATCGTCACAGAGGAGATACATATGATTTATTTTTTTATAAAAGACATCATACTGTGATCGAGGTTTGAGCTTGAAACAACAAGTAGATAAATCCTCATTAATTTAAACTTTTTTCCCCTTTTTTTCTCTTATACACTAACATAGTTTAATTTTCTATTTGTGCAGCACAGTTCTTTGCATTAACTGTAACCATGCAATAAGCCATACATATATAATATAATGATTTTAAATGCAATTTTCTTATGTGATGCTTTTCAATAGAAATGTACGAAACTCTGAAAAACAAATTTTTGAGCTAATACCACACTTATATGCGTGTAACTCTTTAGGTAGAACATTTTTGGCTTAAAGACCATCCATATTCACTTTGCATAGTAAAATTTTAGTTAGACTTAAAAGTTCTGAATGAGCCGAGTTGAATTGAGTTCAAGCCAAGTTTGATCCAATTTTAATATATAAATCAAATTTGGACTCGAGTCAAATAATTTTCTTAAATTCTATTGGCTAAAACTCTTAGTCTGCTTGTATCGCAATGATTTTCTTGAAATTTATTGGCTAAAATTTGTGCATGTGATAAATTTTAAAAAACTTGAAATTTGCTTGCACCCTTTGTATCACTTGATGGATTTTGTTTGTCGTCCACCTGATCCTGATGAACGCAGATTTTGACCTGCAAGGTAAAATTACTACTACGTAGGTAGACTCGATAAGTCGGTTTTGGCCTAACTCGGCCAAAATTTTTCAGCCCTTTTTATCCCTATTTAAAATCCCTTTGATAAGTCAGTCAACCTATATAAAGACCCCCTTTTTAGGATAAGTAAATTGCTCTTGATAAGTCAGCCTCATGTGACTAAATAAAAGATCATCATTACTACTTTTAGCAACGTATGATTTTTATATTAATTACATATCTGATGATTTAGAAATTCTTGTCGCGATATTTTATTATTTCATTTTTATCATCAGGTTATATCATTGATTGTATAATTTATTGCCTGATAATTTAGAAAGAATATTCTTGTTTGTACAGTGAATCTCGATTTAGCGGACCTCAATTTAGCGGATACTAATTAAAAATCTCAGTTTTACGGATAAAGTTCAAAGAACGGTTCCATAATAAAACCTTCTCGATATAGCGGATATCTCGGTTTAACGGATTTTTGGGAAATTTTCCCTAATTGCCCAAACTATCCGCTAAATATAGATTCACTGTGTATTGTGAAAAATACATTTATTTATTTTTATTATGTTTTTATTATGTTCGGAAATATGTATAAAAAGGTTGGTTGATTTTCCAAACTTTTGAAATTCTAATAAAAAAATTTTATGTCACGTGCTCTCTATAAGACGGTCTCGATAAGTCAACCAAACATGCTCAGCCATTCGCGGCTGACTTATCGAGTTTACCTATGTATAAGAAAAGGAGGTGGCCTCACGGAATATGCTAAGGTGTGAAAAGGCCCGAAGATGTAGATATGCAATATTATTTACAAAATTACGTAGTTGGTCTTTGTGCACGTTTCATTAATTACGTTGGAAAGTTCCAACCATGTAGCTCTGACAATATTATGCAATTAGAGGACGCAGACAAAAGAGAAAAACAGATTTGGCCCAAAGAATATATAAAAGAGCTAAATAGTATCAGTTTTCAAATATGATGTTTGGCCATGGACCTACATATCAACGTGCTTGTAAGAATGCCATAAATTGGCACGAAAAATGCTTTTCCAAAAGATAGGAAATAACAAATACTTATGAGCCACATAAAAAATTCCATTTAAAATCACGTTTCACGAATTTTATGTTTTTGTTTTTATTTGTGTATTATTTACTTACTGAATTTATATACCATCTAATCAACACACGGACAGTTATTCTAATTGAAACAGCTGGTATTAGAGTTAATTATCATATAAAAGCCATGCTCGAAATGATGGTGCCAAGATGAAGGAAAGGGTTGCATAGAAGATATTGCACAGTTCCAGACTACTATATCCTTCTCAAAAATTTATACATTTACACCAACCATCAATTTATGCCGGACATTCAAAATATTTCACTTTCAGTATCAAATGGGAGTCTCTTGATCACGGAAATTTAACAAAATAACTGATTGTTCATTATATGATCTTCCGCTTGTTAAAATCTAATACTAATAAAAAAATATACGTCAATTTATTTTTAAATTTGCCAAATTATTCTTATTTAATAATAATAATAATAATATAATAATAAGAAAAATATTTTACAGAATATTATTAAATAATAAATAGATATGAAAGAATATTATTATTAATTATTTTGACTTTAGTTCTTTCTTTCTTTTTCGTTCCATTCTTCTTTGCATTTTTTGCGCTCTCTCTTCCATTGCTTTGTTATAAAGACTTATTATTGATGTTGTATATTTTTCCATTTCCCACTTATCACAAAATTCTCTTGCAATTTTATCAACATCATCATCACCCTATTAATTAATTAACAAATATTGTAAGCAAGTAATCCATTTCATTTTTAAATAATTATCATATTTAAAATAGCTAAATAAATTATATAAGTATATTTAATAAATAATTACTTACTGGACTAATATAACAAGTTTGTACTCCAAAATTTGTTGTTTCAACATCAATCTTTATTGGTTTACCACCACCACCAGATCGTTTACTCTCCAATTCTAAATTGTCCATCCTTAGTTGTTCACTGGGCGAAGGACCTTTTTCTGCAACTTCTACTACTACTCGTTGTTGTCTTTTATCTATACTTGAACTTCTTATTACATCTTCTTTACTTGATGATAATATTGTTGTTTCTGTCTTTGAAAGTAAAGTTTCTTCTGTACTTGTTTGACAATTAACTATGTTCCTGCTATAGTTTTCGACTTCAATATTATTATTGTTAACGTTATTATTATTATTATTTAATTCCAATGATATTGTTTCTAAATTGGAATTTGTTAAAAAGTCATCAACATTATTTTGATAGGAAACATTATTTTCCAATAATGGAATAACTTTTTGATCTTGGATATTTTCATCAGTCTCTTCAAATGAAATTAATGGCGCAATCTCGTTTTTATTATTATCTAATAACAAATTATCACCACCACTATTGATATCACCATTAATGATAACGTTTTTTTGACCTGTCATAAAATTTCCTCGTTCAATTATTGACTGAATATTCTCATCATCAGCAGCATCATCAGCAGCATCAGCACCAGCATCAGCATTATCGTTAACTTTTGTTATTGGTGGTGAAGGCTTAATTGAACTAAACAAATTAAAAATGTCCTCATTGATTAATCTGCCAAGTTTAAGGTTATTGTTGTTGCTACTATCGTTTTCTTTATTATCACCGTCTAATTTACTTGAATCCAAATCTATCAAAAAATTGTCTTCTATCTTTTGAATAACCTGCCTCTCACTAAGATGCTTCTTTTCCTTTTCTGGTTTTTTCACGTTATCATAGAGATTCCAAATGTCATCATTATCAGAAACAGATGTTACATTAGTTTTAACAGGTATAATATGATCATCAAGATGTTGGGATACTGGCACTGAAAGTGTGCTATCTTCAGGATCACTTTCTGATCCTGACGTATCTGATATTTGAAGAGTAGGTTTCTTTTTAGTAATGTAATCTTTACCATGCACAACCTCGACTGTCTTAACATTATACTTGTTCCATTCATCTTGTGCCTTCCATTGATAATTCCTAGTATAATGCTCTTCTGGTCCAGCCGATGCTGAATCATCCTCACTCTTATTATTATTATTATTTAATCCCGTGGTAAAATTTGCAACTACATCGTCTTCGTCATCATCATCATCATCATCGTCATTGTCATTGTCATCATCATTATCATTATCATCATCATTTAAAAGTTTGATTTCTTTGGATCTAGTTGGTCCCTTTTTTTTCTTTACATCCTCCTCTTCAACTCCTTGACGTCCTGAACGATTTCCGTTAATATTATGATCATCAGCATCGCTTGATTTAATCTCTTCTTTTTTTTGAGGCGCTTTAGCTTCTTCTGTAACATTATGCCATGCCCCATTGATTCTAGCCCAAAACACAGTTTGGTTTTGTTCCTCAATCATCTCAATACAAATTCCTTGACGAGGATCACTCCATGAAATATCATTTGGTGGTGGTGACCCCCATCCTTCATGATCATCAAGCTCGTTATTAACAACTCGTACTTGTTTCTTTTCAAAATAGAGAGGCTTTGTTGATTCTTCAACAGGATCAGGAGTTGTTTCACTAGTCTTGACAGTTTCGAAAATTTGATCTAATTCTAGCTCAGATACTTTGCTTTTTACACCTGACGCCCGTTTCACGTGACTATCCCATGTCGATATTTTATTAATCAACAAGCTACCCCATGCACCAAGATCAACTGAATCACTTTGGTCTTGATTAACATCTGTGGAAGTAGATAATTTATTATTTTTATTATTATTATTATTATTATTATTATTATTATTATTATTATTATTATTATTATTATTATTATTATTATTATTATTAATTTGATTATTGCTGTAATAACTTTCTGATATGTAAATAGAATCTATAACATTTTGTGATGATAATGGTGATGGTGGCGACGGGGAGTTATCAGCTTGATATCTATCATTGTTCTTTTCTTTTCTTTTTTCTAAAACAAAATTATCTGACAATTTACAATTATTATTGGCCATAGGTGTAATTATAGGAGTATATTCTAAATTATTATTTGGAATATTAGTATTTTCATCTGATCTAAACCATTCCTTAACATCACCGTCATCATTTTTCTGATTCACTTGTAAAGAAAAAGGAAGTTCTTGTGAATTTTTATTATTATTGTTATTAATATCATTAATTTTTTTTTCAATATGTAGTTGCCTTTGTGTAAAATTAATAGTTTCTTCTGTTTGATTTGTCGACTGCCAAACAGGAGACGTCTTATAATTTTCTAAAATTATTTGTGGATTTTTAGGTTGAGTAGGTAATGTGTGAGTAATTTGTTGAAAATCTACTAAAAGAGTATCATCATCTGAGGTATTGTTATTATTGTTATTTTCATTGTAATTTCCAAAATCTGCCCAACCACCTAAATCATTATCTCCTTCAGACCCACAAGGATTATTCCATGATGATACATATCCACTTGTGGATTTGGGTTGCGTGCCATTTTTTACTTGTTTACCAACAGTTTTATCATCATAATCATAGTCATTAATGATTGCTTGGGTTTGCCCAACTAGTGGTTTAACAAATGTGATCTTTTCATTGTACACTTTATTCTCTTGTTGGAGTGATGATTTTTCAACAAAATTTCGTGATTGCTGTTGGTGAATTTGTGATTCTTGTTGATGGTCGCGATTATTACTTGTTATATTATCAATCACAATGTGACTATCAACTAGATTATTTTTTGATGATGATGATGATGGTGGTGGTGGTGGTGGTTGAATTCCATCGTTAATTTGATTAACTGGTTTAATTTGAGGAAGTTTTATAGGTGGCATTTTCTCAATATTATTATCAATATCTATTTCAATAGTCGAAGTTGAATACTGAACCGCTGAAGAACCATTTCTTCCTTTTTCTTGTTGATGTTCCATTGAATTAAAATCTTTACGACCATTTATAGGAGTTTTTTCTGAAAAATGATTATCTTCTGAATTTCTATCATTGTTGTCATCATAATTATCGTTCATATTATTGTTATTAATGTTGTTGTTGTTATGATCATTGGCTGTTTTATTTTGGTTAACAACTGAAGGTTCTAAAACATCTTCTGTGATTGTTGCTGATGGAGGGAGCAGAGGTGGACAATGAAGGTTAGGAAATTTTACATTGATGGATGACCAACAATTTTGAGTTTTTTTAATTACTGTGGGCCAGGAATCACGTAATTGTGAATGATTGGATGAGGATGAAACTGAAGTGGTGCTGAAGGAACTTTTTGTATCTGGTATATTCTGAAAATATTCACTTTGAAATTCATTAGCAGTCATAGATTGTGGTGGTGACATACAATGATAAAAATTAATGTTGCTATTTGGAGTAACTGGGTAATTAGTATCAAATTCCAAACTATTTATCGTATTAGAAATATGTGGGGGATTTGGAATTTGTTGCCGAGTATAATTATACTGTTGTTGTTGTTGTTGTTGCTGCTGCTGTTGCTGCTGCTGATACGGTTGCTGCTGATGATAATGTTGTTGATGTTGCTGCTGATGTTGATGCTGTTGATATTCATTAGAAAATACTTTTTTAAGAGCAATCCCAATAACTTCTGAAGATAAACCTAATTCTGAAGATAATGCATCAAGTTTATCTTCTGGAATTTTTAATGCTTTATAGTTATTACTGTTTTTAGGAATTAATGAATTATTGACTTGATTGTAATTATAATTATAATTATTAATGTCATAATTAACAACAGCAGAATTACTATTTGGGAATGAGAGAGGCATTTTCTGTTGGAATTGAGCTAATTTTTTGATATTTTCTTTTTCAATGGTGCATTTTTGATGAGCATCACCAACTGAGTCTGAGTCATAGCTTGCATTTTGTTGTTCTGTGGCAAATTGATAAACAAAAGAATTGGTAATAGAAGGTGTTCCATTGAAAACTATTTTCTCAAGTTTTGGTGAAGATTTGACAAACCAGTGCACAGTTTCTGGAATAAATTGACCACATGAGTCTATAATAATGTGGGTAAGTGAAGAATTGGTTTTACGACCAAGATATTTAAGAGACATATCTGTGACGTTTTTGCATTCAATTAGGTCTAATACATAAAGATTATTTTCATTTTTTGCAATACTGTTGATCGAGTTATTTGTAATATGTGGACATTTTGAAAGTCCAATTTTCTCCAAATGTTTACAGTGCACAGTGATTGCTGAAATTGCGTCATCATTAATTGGTAAGTTTTCAAGCGTGATAATACGCAGGTTGTGACAAACTGGTCTTAACCATTCTATTTCATTTGACAGATTATCAACTTCTTGTAAGCACCTGAGATCAAAATTTATTAATTCTTTCAGATACATTACAACTTTAAATGATTTTATTGTGAGTGTTTCACCCAATAATTGAAGATTTTGCAGTTTAGGATTTTTTTCTGCAAAATGTTCTATATTTTTATCAGTAAGGTTGGAACAATTTTGTAATACTAAATTATTGAGTTTTGTTAATTTTGTTGCTAATATATCAAACCCTTTTTCAGATATTGCCTTTGTTGAAAGTTTAAGAGAGACTAGCGATGGGCATTTGATTGCTAATGCTTCTGCAAAATTATCAGAAAGATTAAAATCGCCATCCAAATCCAATACAAGAAGATTAGGTATACAACTCATTAGTGAATTGAATGCTTTATAAGTCAATTGACTATTGCCAACAACTAGGATTTCTTTAAGTTCCGGGCAATATTGTGATAAAGATTGTACGTGATGATCTGTTAGATTCCATCCATACACTTTGATCCTATGTAATTTTTCACATAGTTCAACGAGACTTGTTATAAAGGTTGGTTTTGATAAAACATATCTTGACATTGTTTTGTGTACAGGATGTTCAGAGCTCAAAACTGGCGCAAAAGAATTTGTGACGCTTTCATCTGGAGCACATAGGTTGAGAACGCGTACTCTTAAAGCACGTTGTTTTGATTGTTTGACCGCACGGAGAAAGGAGTCAAGAGAATCTGGCGTTTTGAAAATTGGCTCTGACCATAATACATTCATAGCAGTTGGAGACCATGTCTTATTAACCAAACATAAATTGTATCGATCTCGTGAATCTAAAAATTCCGCTATGCGTTTAATGAGTTTGGATTGTAACCTGAGAGCCAGATTAGGTTCTAAAACCTCTTTTTCTTCGAGATCTGTTAGCCAGTTACTCGTCATTATATTTTATTTGCAAAGATTAATTATTAATTATTCCAAGTATTCTATTCTTTATGTTATTTTTTTTTCGAAAAAAAAATTTTTTCATATAAAAAATAAAAAAAAAAGGATAAAAACTAATACTAATACTAATATTATTTATTTATTTATGTAATTTGGTCATAACTAGTGAAGAAATTGCAGGGGGTCCGAATATACTTTTTAATATTAATGTTGTTTATTACGTATACACTAATACTAATACATCTATTTAATTTTTTTGATGATCTTACCAAAAAGAAAATCATAAGAAGACCCTGAATACGCCACACGTCTATTATGAACAAAAATGGATAAATAGTGTAGTTCTTTCTAAATATGATAATTTACATATGACGAAGTTTTAAGCAAAGTGCCTCGAAAAGTATATAAATTTGACTGTGCCATATATACAAATTTGGCCAAAACTTACATAGGATTTAATAATAAATATTTTACATTATAGAATTATTCTTTTGCATTTACTATATGGGGCATGCTGCAATAAAACCAGACAAAGTGAACATTTGTATTACTGAGAATTTCAGGATCAAAGTTTAGTCATTTGTAATGTGATTATAATTAACAATTTTATAATGTCCCATTTTCTATCTTGAGTGATATATAGAATTGACCCCATATAAAAATAATAAAAATTTGCTAGAATTAAATAATATTTGTTGTTATTTTTTATTTGTATATTAAAAAGGTGGTGGTGATTATTAACCTGTTGCTTGCTACTCTACCCTATTTATATAGATAAAAAATAAACATGACTTAGCTTTTTTGTTGTTATTAATACTTGTACATGAATATCTGATTATTCAATACATTTTATGTTGTAATTGACATAACAAACAATTGCATCACCCAGGTAATAATAACACCAAGACCATGCAGAAATGAAACTTTTAATAACACATGTCCACCCAGATCTCTGGGGTACACAAGAATAAATAAATAAATAGGGAGGATCAAAAAAAATCACTTCCCTTTCCCATTGTATAGTTCCTTATGAATAATAAATCTGATGATAATAACAGGTGTCAGATTTAATTAAAATTTCCTATCACAAACATACAATCGCGATGCAATTAAGCACAATTCAGCACCATGGATTTTTTTTTCCACAGGTGAAGGAGTGTTGAACATGTTGGAAGGCTTTGGACAAAACTTCCTTATCTTATCCTCAGACCAGGCTTGCTGTTATCACATGAGCATTGATAGCTGATGAGGATCGGCATTTGTGTGATGATTGCTTTGTTTATACCTCTGTAGAATAAAGTTGGTGTTAAGACTGGTTTGAAAATTCAGCAGCTCAGGAGGTTGCAGCCTGGGTTGCTGTTTTGGATTTTCCCTGAATTCTGAGTTTTGAGGCCTGGGTTGTTGTTTTGTCGGTGGTACATCTGCTCACCAGCAACCTTACCCACATTTAAAAAATAATGAATTCACTTGGTCAAACAAAAATTAAAGAAACAGAACATTTGGGAATGATTAATTTATAACATACCAAAACAAACCTGAGCCATTTAATTTTACAGCTTTTCTCTTAACATCAGAGCCCAAATGCAATTTCAGGGTCACCAGCCCCACTCTGAATTGCAACCTCCCGTGCTTGAAATGAACTGCAGATTCTCTTAATATTCCTCCAGAGTTGTGATAGCTTGGTCACAGATCCGTCCTTACCTTAGAGGTAGGATCGTTGCAGGCAATTTTCAGCTAACATGCAGCCTTCTCTGGTCTGTATGCTGCGAGTGAAAAGCGTCATTGACGATTGATGCAGTCTCGGTAAACTCCAGGGCCACGTACCCCCCTGAAAATTTTGTTGCATCATTGTATCTCAGGGCAAGCTAGTCAGGTTAGCCTTTGTACACGAGGAAGAGGAGAGAATGACTGTAAAAAGTTCAAGATAGCGTGCATGCCTTCAACGTCTGCTAATTTCCGATAATCAAACGTTCCGTATCGAAATGTTTCATATTTGAATTGTTTCTTTTTCAACAGTCAATGCTGTCTTGACATCTTGTAATTAATTATATAGTTAATATTGATTATGGTTACGAAAAGCCAAATATCAATTGTTTGCCATCTTGATGAGAATCTTATAATTACCCAGCGAGTTCTGCTCCACGTTTTGATTTCAATAATTAAAATAAAAGTCACCACATTATATCAATACAATTTAAAAAAAAGTCTCTTTTTAGAACCAATCATGCTAAACAACAACACTCGCGTTTTGTCATCTGTCAAAAAATAAAAAAAAATAGGGGTCCATACATAAGAGTAAGTGTTTATCGTAAGAATGGCGGTTATCGCCACTACTTGTCATTCTAGTTATTATTAAAAGAATGGTAGTTACATTATGCTGCAACTATCACGACTTGTCATCTTAGTTGTCATATATATATATAATTATTCTTCTCTTCCTCAACAACAGACAAATTGATGAAACCAACAAAGAAAACAACGCAGACTTAGAAAAAAGAAAACGTAGAAAAAACGAAGAGTTGGAATTTAAAGTGAGCAGTCTTTAGTATTTGATCTTCATAGTTTATTATTTATTGAATACCCTTTGAATATACATAAAAAAGTTAAAAACAAAAGGAACCAGCGAGTACATTAAAATAGATTTAGCACAACAAGTTCTTTCAAGTCCATCCGTGGTGCCATTAAAAGAATACAAGTGGTTTGGAACAATGTTGACGTTTGGGGATATTTACATAAAACAAATGAATACATAGAATCGTGAGTAAATTTTACTTTGTATATTGTTATTCTATTTTGAATCATCTCAAAGCCTTTTTTGTGAAATATTTTTTATTACTTAAATAGATCATTGCAAATAAATGTAGTCAATTCCAATGACATTTCATGTTCAAAACTATTGCCATCTTCCATTGTTTCATCAATACAAAATCAATTAGAAGATGATAATATGAATATTGTATATTTTGATGATAAAAGAGAACATGGGGTGAAAAAACTTACCACTGGAATCAATGAGAACGTGCTCAGTTATCTGGAAAATTTCGAGAGTTGTGTAAGCATCTATATTATTCAAATAATTTTTAGTATAGGATTTAATTAAAATTTAATCATCTATTTTTACAGTATACATTGGATCAATTAAAAGAAGCACTTAATAAAAATAATATACATGGACAAACAAATGTTCCTTTCGATATAAAATACATCTATCAATTTTCAATAACATGTTTGTAAAGTATAAAGCATTTTACTAATATATATATACTTTACTATGTATTATAATTTCCATAACCAGGCATTATATTTACTCAAACAATATTTTAAATAGAAATTTAACAGAGTTTGAATATTCTGCATATGTTTGGGTGCCATTAATAAACTATGCATTTATGGAAAGTGACAATATCAAAATTGCGAGGTATGTTAGAATTTTCAAAATTTAGAAAAAATGCTTTTGTTGCATCTATACACATATAAATAATTCTAAGATTTTATTCATTCCTGTGTTTTAGTGGTGATGTATCTTCAAGAGGGTTTGAAAAGTTGAAATCTTTGGCCCAGACACAAAATAAAACAGGTCCAAGAATTGATACAAAGGGTGCAATATTATCAACTGGAATTGAGGTATTACTAATAGAAAATGCAGTAAATGAAGATCAAAATAAACAACTCCTAGACCAAGAGAAATTAGATATTGCACAAAGGTCCTGCTTGCAAGTGTATTTATCTCATTACCATCATCTTCATGGAATAATATACACGAATTAGAAATTTATATAATCCAAATTAGTGGTAATAATTTTCCTTTATAAATCTAGTTGCTCATAATAATTGATTGACATTGTAATATTTACTCCTTTTAGGGTTATCATTATCACTATCTGTTGCATCCTACTTCTTCTAAGATACCATTTGCATCTTGGGATTAACTGACATTATGATACCAAGAACCATTGATACATTCCCTAAATGCATTGAAGCAGTACATATGATTTTGTCTTTGAAGGTGCATATGTTAATTTATATTTTTCTCTCTCTCTTTCTCTCCTTGCTAATTTAATTCCATATAAATTTTCCACAAAAAGGCTCGTACATTTGAGAATAATAAATTATATTATGAATTAATGGGCAAGGCATCTACACAGTTGAAAGAAAAGAATTTTTTTCCACCTAAACAATTAATGAATCTAAAAAATAGTTATTTTATTCCACTCTTGCAATGAGTAGCATTATTCTGAATTATTTCTTTATTTAGCATTAATGATTGAATCAGTCACATAGGTGGTAGTCAATTTAAATGGCATTCATTTTTTTAAATGTGTAAAATTTTTTTAAAAGTTGTTTTTATAATAATGATTTTTAATATTGTAAAATTTTTTTTGATAAATGAAAATCTTTATTAATATTAATAAAAAATCAGGAAACATGAAATTTTTGCACATAATTATTTTTCATGGGGCCAGTTACTGAACAATCATATCTTTCAAATCATTACCCAAAACTATTTCACTGATTCATCTAAGTTTAATTCTATTTATATAAACCTCTTCAATTTTAAAATAATTATAAAAAAACTTACAAAGTGAACATAAAATTATATATATATAGGGATAAGTGTATATGAAGAACATTAACAAAGGTAATAAATGCAATGGTTCTAATGAATATGAAAAGGCAATTGATTTTTTAGAAAAATGTTGTAAATGTGGTTGTTCTTCAAGAATTCACAAGGAACATTTTGCAGAATCAAGGGAATCCTTTCAAGCTTTTTCTAAATCAGAACAAGATATATTTTTAATGGCCCAACTTAAAGCAATGGATGGTGGATTAACAAGTACTAGTAGACATCTTAAAAAGAAAACCAGATCTAAAAAAAGAACTTCCTACCATTGGGACCATAATACACCTCTTTGTCAAGAAACTTATCTCAATATGTTAGGAATTGGTAAAACTTATTTTGAAAATATTAGAAATCATATGATAAACAATGGTCTTTTACCAAGAATTCATGGCAATATTAAAAGGATGCCTCAATGGAAACTAAAATGGTGATTGATAAAAATGTTGCAGAAATAGTAAAGAATTTTCTAGAAAATTATGCAGAAGTTCATGGATTACCAAGTCCAGGAAGAAGTATCAATAGAATAACTCA